AGATGAAGTCAACATATGTACTAATGTGCTGGACACAAAAGACGTATGTACAGATTGTGATGAGTTGTATGAGCCCCTAATAAAATGATTATTTAAAAAAAAACATTTCAAAAGAGCAACAATAAAAAAGACTGTAAGAATGGCATTCATCTATATAAAATCAAAACTAAACAAAGACTATATAAAAATTTTGCTAAAATTCTAAGGATATATTTTTGAATTGTTGACTTACCAATTGATCATATTTTAAAATAAGACACTGAGTTAAAATCTAGAATAGTTTTACATATTTATAAAATTTATAAAATAGTTTTGAATATTTATAAAATTTCTAATATAGTTTTACATATTTACAAAATTTGATGATACAGAAAATATTTTAAATATAAAAATGTAGATTGAAGAGGAAATTACAGAATTCAATAGAAGCCCCTAAGCTTGAGAGACCCTAAGAACAAGCAATATACATTTGCCTGTCTGAATGATCGATCCTTTTTTTGATCATGAATCATCATTATTTGTGGTTGGGTAAACTGAAAATCCCTTTACGTTTGAGTTTCGGGATTTTTTTATTAAAAGAGTGGCTTTATGGACATTGTTAGAACAAGGATCTTTATAAAGTAAAGTTTTGTTTTTTGGATTGTTTTCATGAAAAATATTTGTTTGCAATGTGATGGAAAATAATAATATTGATGTGTTTTTTTCCTCACAGCCGCTGAACTATGAGAAAAAGAAAGCATATACACTCAACATAGAAGGAGCAAATACACATCTTGATTTTCGCTTTTCTCACCTGGGTCCTTTTAAGGATGCTACCATGCTGAAGATCGTTGTTGGGGATGTAGATGAACCACCGCTATTTTCCATGCCTTTTTATGTAATGGAAGTCTTCGAAAACGCCAAGATCGGAACCATCGTTGGCACCGTTTTGGCACAAGACCCTGACAGTGCTAATAGCTTAGTAAGGTATAGTCATACCAACCATTAGACCGTGAAAGATTTCATTTCCTACCACTTTAATTTAAAATTAATGAAATATTTTAAAAATATTTGATTCCCATAATGTCTTTTTATTAATAAAATAAAATAGAACTAGTCTATCAGAGTGCTTCAAAGTTTGTGGAAAAATGGAATTAAAATATAGTGGATTTTGTTCATTTACTTTTGGAACCTACTGTTAGCTAATAATTTAGTGAGTTTTCTTTAAATTTAGATTGCATATTTTCATCTCCAGGAAAATAGTGTTGATTATACTATTTGTTTTGCATTTT